AATAATAACTTGCTGTTATAAAGTGCTTGAAGGTTTACAGAATGCTCCCCTCACAACAGTTCTGTAAGGTAAGGAGTGAATGTGTTTCTATTCTCCTTTTTCAGAGGGAGTTTAGTTGCCTTGCCTCGATACTGTTACTAGAAGGTGACAGCTGGGACTTGGACACAGTCTTCCTTTCTCCAGGTCATTGATCTAGCAGCCAAAAATGCCAATACAATCTTATGTTGCATTAAGAGAGACAAAGTGTTTGAACCTAGAGAGGTGATGGTATCACTGTACCCTAGCCCAGGAATAGCCCATTTGTACTATTATGTTTTGTTTTGGGTGCCACATTTTAGGAAGGACATTGCTAAGTTAAAGTATCTAGAGTTTGTTGACCAGCATTGAAAGGTCTCCAGAGTAGGCCATATGAGAATCATTTGAAGGAACTAAAGGTATCTAACCTGGAGAAGAGCACACTAAAGGGACATGATAGCTCTACTGAAGGGACTGTCTTTCATCTTTTTTTGTATCCCTATACATAGTAGGTGCTTAATAAATGCATACTGACTAACATGACCTTTTCCACTGGGTATATATACATACACATATGTGTGTATATATGTGTATACAAACATATACAGACATACATGTATACTTGCACATATACACATATGCGTATACAAATGTATATACACACATATCCTTCCTTATTCCTTTGGAGGAAGAGGCCAAGACAGTGTCAGATACTGATTAGATATGGTCCCTACCCTCATGGAGCTTACAATGTACACAGGGATAAGACATATAAATAGATAGATAGAATGCACACTAATACCTGATAAATACATTGGAGAGGCATAAAACTAAACACAGTTTGTTTTCAAACCTCAGTCTGAAGAAGGCTGTTACTGACCTACACACGAGGAAAGGCTTTTGAGGTTGGTGGTATTTGAAATGAACTTTTCAACAGATGAAAAAAAAAAGGACATTCCAGGCTTAGGGAATGGCATAAGCAAATCATGACTGTAATTTAATGTTGTGTTTTAAGGTTTACAAAACTCTTCGCTCTCAGAGGCACAGAGGCATGGCAAAAATCAGTCCGTTTCACTGGAAAATAAAAATATGTATAAGGGAGTAAGATGATATGTCTGAAAAAATAAGGTGATCCAGATTGTGGAGGTTTCTTGAACGCTTGACTATTACTAAGCACATTATTGGGAGTCATTGAGATATTTGAGCTGAGGCAGATAGAAAAGCCATCTGACTTGCAGCTGAAATCTTCCATTTGTGTTATCTCTCCCATTAGAATGTGAGCTCCTTGAGGGCAGAGACCATCTTTTTTAATTTTTGTCTGTAGTGCTTAGTACAGTGTCTTGTAAATTTAAGACCTTAATAAATGCTTCATTTATTTATTCACATTTTCAACTTTATTCGTGTCCATTCCTCTTGGTTAAAAAGAATAATCAAGAGTGGACAGTGTATACTTATATGTGCACATGTCTTTGCGTTTTGAATGAACATAATTTTTAATGGAGTATGTGTATGAGGGGGATATATTTGTGTGTGAGGAAAAGGCAGAGGTAGAACCCCTAATTCCTCTCACCTCAATTCACATTTTACATTGTGGTCAAGGGAAGAGAATACTCCTACAACATTTGTTTAAATGAGTTATCAATGCTCCTAGAAGCTTTTTTTAAAGCATTACATGCCCAAGTTGCACAACTATGATGATAAAAAGTTAATAGGTTTTAGCTAAAGAAGGAAAAGGAGTATGATAATGCTGTATGTTGTCACCTTATTGATTTAACTTCTACACAGAATCTATCATGCAAAATGCCAGGCTGGATGAATCAAAAGCTGCAATTAAGGTCATTGGGAGAAATATCAACAGTCTCAGATATGCAGATAATATTATTCTGGTGGCAGAAAGTGAAGAGGAATTAAGAAGCCTCTTGATGAGGGTGAAAGAGGAGAGTGTAAAAGCTGGCTTGAAGCTTAATATCAAAAAACAAAGATCTTAGCAATTGGTCCCAACATTTTCTTGGCAGTTAGAGGGAAAAGAAATGAAAGCAGTGTCAGATTTTATATTCTTGGGCAGCCATGAAATTAAAAGATGCTCCTTGGAAGGAAAGCTATGACAAATCTGAATATCATACTAAAAAGCAGAAATGTCACCTTGCTGACAAAGGTCCATACAGTCAAAACTATGGTTTTTCCAGAAATGATGTGTGGCTGTGAGAGTTTTAATTTGCACTTTTTTTAAGGCAGTTGAGGTTAGGTGACTTGCCCAGGGTCACACAGCTACTAAGTGTCAAGTGTATGGTCTGAGGTTGGATTTGAACTCAGGTCCTCCTGATTTCAGGGCCTGCACTCTATCCACTGCGCCACCTAGCTGCCCCCTGTGAGAGCTGAACTATAAGGAAAGCTGAGCGCTACAGAATCAACACTTGAATTGTGGTACTGGAGAACTTTTGAGAGTCCCTTGGACAACAAGGAGATCAAAGTAGTCAATATTTAAAGAAATTCAGTCTCTTTATTGAAAGGTCAAATAACTAAAGCTGAAGCTTAAATGCTTTGGCCACAAAATGAGAAGATGAGACTCATTGGAAAAGACTTTGATGTTAGGAAAAATTGAAAGCAAAAGAAAAAGGGCGTGGCAGAGGATGAGATAGATAAATAGCTTAATGGAAACAATGAATATGAACTTGGACAGACTTTGAGAGGTAGTGGAGAATAGCAGGGCCTGACATGCTATGTCCATGGGGTCACATAGAGTCATCAGACACAACTGAACAACAACAAAACCAATTAGAATCCTAGATGACAGAATAAAAGCACCAAATCAATGTACAAATATGATCCATTTCTATAAATCACCCCCTTATAAAACATTTGATTATTTCTTTGATAGAATATGATGAGATGCTATGTTTTACCTTAAGTCTGCCTATTTACATGCTGGACTTGAAGTGAGGAAAGACCTGAGTTCAAATCCTGCCCTTGGTCATTTATTAGCTATGTGATTTTGGGCAAGTCATTTAATCTTCGAGCCTCAGTTTCCTCATCTGTAAATTTGGGACAAAAATTGCACCTACCTCACAGGGTTGTTGTAAGGATAAAATGAAATGCAAAGCACTATATAACTGCTTGTTGTTATTATATATTTCTGGTGACACTTCTTTAATAACCAGCTCTGGTGACATTTCTTTAAAAAAAACCACATACCTAATGCATAGAATTCATTTTATTGCTTTTGTTTTTCAAAAAAGAACAGTGGGTATTTTAACATGTAACAGTGTCATGTTCTATGTAATTGGAACCACATATTTTAGTAATAAAAATGAGTGATATTGAAATAACTCACATAACCCATTGAAAAATTAAAAAAATTAATTAAAATACCCTTTTCACTAAGAAAAATAAATAAAATCTAAGCAAATCAACCTATGCAAAATTAAAATTAACTTTGCTAGATTTTACTGTAATAGTCCATACCTAGTATGTTTTCCTTCTTCCCACTCCATCACCACCACTACTATTCATCTTCAGAGCTATGCATTTTTTGAAAAAAATTATTAAGATTTTATTATGTTAACATGCTTCTCATTCCACATCATCTTCAACCAAACTGCAGATTTCACAATTCTCTGGCTAGTTGTTGGTAGCTTAGTCAGAAGCATCTGGAACATTGGTGGTAGAAGAGTTTGCTGTAAAACTTGCAATAACTGCAAAAAGGAAAAAGAAATATATGTACAAAAGTATTTATAGCAGCTCTTTTCTGGTGGCAAAGAACTGGAAATTGAGGGGATGCCCATCTATTGGGGATTAGTTGAACAATTTGCGGCATGTGATTATGATGGAATGTGCTATGGGGAATGATGAGCAGGATGCTCTCAGAGAAACCTGGCAAGACTTGTGAGAGCTGATACAAAGTGAAATTTACTATGTACAGAGTAACAGAAATATTATAAGATGATCATCTGTGAATGACTTGGCTGTGTTCAGCAATACAGTAATCCAAGACAATTCTGACGGACTTAATGCCATCCATCCCCAGAGAAGGAACCGATGGTGTCTGAATACAGATTGAAGCATGCTTTTTTACTTTATTTTTCTTGAGGTTTTATTTAATTTTTTGTCTATGTTTTCTTTCACAGCATGACTAAAATGGAAGCATGTATGGCCTGTACTGAATTGTTTGCCTTCTAATGGGGGGGGTGGTTAGGGAGGAAAGAAGGGAGAGAATTTGGAACTCAAAAGTTTTAGAAAAACAAATGTTAAGAATTGTTCTTATGTGTAACTGGGGAAAAATAAAATACTCAACATATTTAAAAAAAAAAAAACTTGTAATAACTGCTGTGCCTACCCACAGGGAGCAGAAGCATTGGTCAGATGGTCCACACCTTTTTAATATTCACTTTGGGCTAGTGATTGCTCACCAAGCTATATTTCTTTTTTTCTTTCTTTTCTTTTTTTTTTTTTTTGGTGAGGTGACTGGGATTAAGTGACTTGGCCAGGGTCACACAGCTGGTAAGTGTTAAGTGTCTGAGGCTGGATTTGAACTCAGGTCCTCCTGACTCCAAGGCGAGAGCTCTATTCACTGCACCACCTAGCTGCACCTAAAGCTGTATTTCTTTAAGGAAGAATAGGTGGGTAACTTATAAAGCTCAGCTCTTGTCTGTATTCTTGTAGACTGTGTTTTGAAGTTGAGGTGTTCAATGTAGATATAGTAGCTGAGGAAAAGAGCCCTGCACGTGACCAGTGACAGTGCTCCTCCAAGTGTGACCTACCATGTTTCCTACTGCTGGAGGTGATAATTCTAGTCTTTATCTCATGGTTCATTTATTTAAGTAATGTCTGCTGTCCTCATTAAGGCTGTTAGTACTCCCTAGTCTCATGATTTTCAAACAGTTTGATGTACAAAGAGACCCTAATGAGAAAAGATAAATAAATCATTATAAAGAAAAAATGACTTGATTTCTTTTGGTGTTAATATGTAGGCATTTTCCCTCCCCCAGCATGGCATCCTCAACCTCTGAAGAACAGGGGAGTGCCTCCAGCAACTTCCTCCCCCAGAATTCCAGTAACTACATATCCTTGGACTTTGAACCCAACATGGAATACCAATTTGTGGAACAATTAGAAGAACGTTATAAATGTGCATCATGCCATTCTGTTCTTCACAACCCACATCAGACTGGCTGTGGACATCGATTCTGTGAGAACTGTGTCCTATCCTTGAGGTAGGGAGGTGGTCTGTGACCTGAGTTGAGTAAGTCAAGGACAAGATACAATCAGGAAGATGTTTCTTGCACCCAGACATTAGCCATAGATATTCACCAGCATTCAGAGTTTTCTGAAACAAAAGGGGGGACTTTTCCAGGATACTTCTTGGGGGTACTTCTGTGGGGACCTAAGTACTTTTTATATTTATGAGATTTGCATATATTTTATGTTTCTTAAAATAGTTTCACCTTTAGTATACAGAGTGCAAATTCATATGGAGGGTTGGTTAGGAATGGAGTATATTAAGGGACAAAAGCACTTGCTCCCCAAAATTCTCTTTTCTGTACTCAAAGTACAAAACTATGATAAGGATGGCTTGTAACCTGAATTAGCTTTTGTAAGCAAAGAAGCTGTTAGCTTCAGGTTACCAATTCTCTTCTTGGACTAGATCACAGCATTTTGGTAGATTTCTTCTCTTTTTGGACTCTGGGGACCAAATTGTTACACTCTTCAGAGCTAGAAGTGGGGTAATTCAGGATGATGCTTATATGTGATGTTTGGGATATTTACCTGTTAGGAAGGTAAATATTAGCTTTTTTTTTTATTCTAGAGAATTAAATGCAGTGTCCATCTGTCCCGTAGACAAGGAGATTATCAAACCCCAGGAGGTAAGCAGGTCAGCGCTTAGCATAGTGCCTGGCACATAGCAGGCACTTAATGTTTATTGATTGTCAGTCTCAGTTTTATTTGGGGGTTATGCAAAAATTAGCCAATGTCTCTCCTAAGATAGATACTGTGTGGTTTATAACTCAGGACAGAAAATTGGGAGATGAAGACCTTCCTAGTGCCCAAGGCTCTCTTGAGTTTCTGTTCTTAAAGTCTTTCAAGTGACTCAGGTCCCTCTACTCTTAACAGATCAGAACACCAAGATGTATTGCAGTTTATTGAACATACTAAGCTGTCTCATATCTACTCATTTGGTGCCCTTCTCTTCCCTCCCCCCGCCCCCTGCCCAGACACATGTATACATTGTCATTACTGTTTTTTCCTGGAGATGGAAATTCTGCTATTGCTATCAAAGCTAGGTAGAGGAATGCAATATAATCAAAATACCTCTCCTACCCACTCCATGCCCCCCACCCCAATACAGTGGAGTCATGGCACTACAGTATAATTATCCTTATTTTGTTGTATTGGTGGTGTTATATGGAGTCAAAAGGCTTGAGTTTGAGTCAGCCATTTATTGCCCATGTAACCTTGAGCAGAAGAGTTCACCTTGTTGGGTTCCAGTGTCCTTTTCTGTAAAATAAGGGAGTCAATTAAGATGACTCTCACAATCCTAACACAATATAATTTGTGATTGTATTCCTCAGTAAGTACACATCCAGGTTCTAGGACCTTCTTTCGTCTTCCCATCAGATTGAAAGTGACTTTCCTTGTTGGTCAGTAAAATAACAGTAACATGTAGGAATACAGGTAACACAATCTAGGGGGGCACTCATAGAGCATAGAATTAAGGAATCTACCAAATTTTAGAGCTAGGTGTTATCTTAGGGGCTCGTTTTATCCAACTCCTTCATTTTTATAGATCCTAGGGACTAAGTGACTGACCCAACAACCCCCAGCCACTGAGTATGGTAGAACTAGACCTAGAAACCAGTTTTCTTAGTCTTTTTCTATTAACCTTTATATTATGCTATGCTGGGCAAGAGATGGGTGTGTGCTCATGCATGTGTTTGTGTAAATATATGTGTTAGTAAATGAATAAGTAATGATTTCCAGATTCCTCTGTAGTGTGAGATTTTCAAACAATTGGCATTCCTGTGTACAGTAATTGAGTTGACTTTATTCCAAATTCAGCTAATTTTGCACGTATAATTTGGTTTATAAATTCTGAAATTTTATTTTACCTTCTGTTGGGTCTGTGCATTTGGCTGAGATCTGTGTTTTTCAATGTTTTTTAGTGACCCTTCCAAGCCTTTAACCATATCCTTTTCCCAGTTGTATAAAAGCTGCTATTGGGGAAGCATAGACAAAGTAGTATACTAAACTCCTTTTATGAGGAGTTAGAGCACCTAGTGGGGCATATGTGTTGTTTGGGGAAAATGGGAAGATAGGAACTGAAAGGGGTTTCACACTTTGATCTGAAAAAGTTCTCAAAAGACTAGAAATGTGTAGAGAGGCTGGTCTTTGTGAAGTTCAAGAAGCTTTGTACTGAACTTTGTGTGGAAGTAGGAAAGAAATATGGTCAATGTGCCCCTGTGGTTTAAGTGTCATGGAAGGACATTGAAAAACAACGTAGCCAAATTAATAGAGTGTGCCACGTGTGATCCTCTGGGTCTTCAAGTGCGGCCATTTGACTGAATCCAGACTTCACAGTTCTGAAGTTTGGATTCAATCAAAGAGCCACACTTGAGGACCTAGAAGGCCACAGGTTCCCCACCCCTGGTTTAAGTTAAGTACATGAGTTCTGAGGGGATGTTGTGGCAGAGTAGTTAATCTGGGAGAACTCCCTGAAGAAGTTGAGTAAAGTATTGAATGGAGGAATGAATTTGGATTGGCAGAAAGGAGAGTTAAACGACATGCTAACTTTGTCCTACAAAAATAGCTTTCTGAAGTCTTGATGTTGCCCTAAGCCAGTAACTAAGCACTAGTAGATGCTAACATTTGTGAGTAAGGTAATTGTCTCCACTAAGGCAGGAAGTATCAACTAACCCACATCCCCACCTCCTATGAGAGTTTGAGGTCAAGTTCATAACTGGGCTCCTCATGCAACAGATCGCTGGGCATAGGGCTACCCAACTTCTGCTGTAAATGCTCCATCACGGTTATATGTCTGTGACAGACTTTTCAGTTTTGTGGTGAGTCAGATTTTTTCCTCTCAAGGAAAGAAAAATGTTTCCTGTTTTCAAGCCTCTGTCCGGAATTCCATCTATAGATTTAGCTGATACCTCTCCTCCTTTGAAGTGTGTCTGATGGTCAGATTGTTGTCTTCATTAGACTTGATGTGTGTATGTGTGACCGACAGTGCTTTTCTTTCAGGTGTTTAAAGATAATTGCTGCAAACGAGAAGTCCTCAACTTACAGGTTTTTTGCAAAAATGCTCCCCATTGTGCTGCCAGGATGATTCTGGGTCGATTCCAGGTGGGTCTGAGATAATCTACCTTTAACTCACATTAAGGTTCCGTCATTAAAACCATTCTGGGCACACAGCACCGTAACAGATGTTCTACAATAATCATTGTTCTTTCTATGAGTTTATAACTGGAGATAATATTCACTTAGCCAGAGAGAGTTGGTATGTTCATTAAAGAAAGGCCATTGTAAGAGAAAGACTTGCATAAAGTACAAATGGAGGAAATGATGCATTCAGTGTGTATGTGTGGAGGGGGGGTTGCTTAGTAAAGAGGGAGCCACAGTGAGTTTCTCTTCAAAGGTTTCACTTCAAGCTTTCATTCAATTTCACTTTTCCATTTAGCTAAAGAAACATTCTCTTAAATAGAAACCTCAAGCTGAAGGTGTAATGGTTTAATTTTGGCAGGTCTATGTCAGGTCCATCCACAGAGTAAATAAGAATGTTAGTGTCTCTAACATTTGGCAAACTGCCAGGAGGCTGTTGAAACTTTTCTTTTCTTCAAAAACATTTTTCACATGTTTCATTTATTCACAAGATTCATTCTTAATTCTGTTCTTGTTATTGTTCACTTGTTTTAAGTCATGTCGAACTCTTGGTGACTCCATTTGGGGTTTTCTTGGCAGAGATACTGGAATGGTTTGCTATTTCCTTCTCCAGTTTGTTTTACAGATGAGGAAACTGAGACAAATAGGGTTAAGTGACTTGTCCAGGGTCACACAGCAAGTAAGTGTCTAAAGCCAGATTTGAACTTGGGAAAATGAATCTTCCTGACTCTGGGCCTGGCACCCCATGCACTATGCCACCTAGCTGCCTTGTCACTTCATTAGGGAGAACTATCCACAGTATAAGTTAATAAAATTAGATATTTCTCATTTTAAAAACTTCTGAACTAATCTAGATATGATGGCAATTACAAGTTGTTATTGTCCCAGTGAATGCATCTCCCAGCAAGATCCATTAAAGAAAAAGGAAGCAAACCATTTGCTGCAATATTGACAAATATTGATATTTGCTCCATATTGACAAAGGAGTGAAGTTTTATCACAGGCTCAGGATTACCTAGTTATGGTCCTGTAAGTTAAATAAGGGCAATGATAACCATGCCATTATCCACCAAACCATGACCCAATTCTTATTTAACTAGGTAATCCTGATCCTATGATAAAAAGTTGTTCCTTGGTCAATTTAATTGACTTTAGTATAACAGGAGCTGCTTACCTTTTCTTCTTCTCTATTCCCCTTTTTATCTGACTGCATTTTTTGAGGATCTACTTTGCATACACCTGTGCTCTGTGGTATAAAAATCAATAAAAGACCTAGTTTATTATCAGAGGTGGGGGGGCAGAGAATATAGAATAAAAACAAGCCGCACATGTGGGATGGTATGTCCCATTCTTGATCTCATATTCACCCACAAGTTTCCATCTCCATGATACAGAACTCTGAAATTTTCCTATCTGGTCACAGTGTCCGCTCTTTATATTTCACTAGTCCCATATCTATTCTTTGTCCTCATCCCAACCTCCTATCTCTCTTCCCAGCTTTCCCAGTTCATCATCAAGGAAAATCTCACTTTTCTCCCTTTGAAATATTTTTATATGTAACTGCAAATCTTTATTATATATCATTGATTTTTTTAAAAAGCATGTAACAAGTTCAACACATTGTTTCCAAAGCTACTCTGCTTGTATCCACCTCTGAATTTCCTTTTGTTCTCTTCTGTACTTTAAAAAAATATTCCATTGCTGTTCTTTTCTTTTCTTTGGCATCACTCTCATTTCCTTCCCATTTCTCCTTACTCAAAAAAAGGGGGGTCCATCTTGTAATAAATTATAACAAAAAAATGAATATGTATGCTCATTGGCTATGTCTGAAAATCTGTCCCATTCTGTACCTCCAGTCTACCACCTGTCTGCCAAAAGGAGGAAAGTATGCTTTATCTTGGGTCATCTGTAGTTGTGGCTGGTCATTGCATCGATTAGTTACATCTTTCAAATTATTTTTCTTTACAGTGTGGTAGTCACTGTATAAATTGTTCTCCAGGTGCCGTTCACTTTACTGTTATTTCCAACAAGTCTTCCTAGGTTTCTCTAAATTCATCCCTTTGGTCATTTCTAAGGGTGCAATAAGGTTCCCCAATTAATAGGTTCTCCTTGTTTCCAAATCTTTGCTAAAAACAAAAAAGTGCTGCTCTACATTTTTTTTTAACATATGGGTCCTTTCCTTTTTCCTCTGTTCTCTTTGGAAGTATAGGCCTCGAAGTGGTATTGCTGGGTTAAAAGGCATGTGGTTTAATGTCTTTTGAGTATAGTTCCAAAATACTTTTCAGAATAGCTGGTTCATGGCTACACCAACAGTGCAATACTGAGTTTATCCTCTCACAATTATCATTTTCCTTTTATGTTATCTTTGCCAATCTGAGGGATGTAGGGTAGAAGCTTAGAGTTGTTTTAATTTGCATTTCTCTTATAGTGATTTCAGGCATTTTTCATATGGTTGGCGATAGCTTGCTGAGAACTACGTGTCCATATACTTTGCTCATTTTTCTACTGGGGAATGGCCCTTGGTTTTTTTGGTTTGGTTTTGTTTTGTTTTTTTAGGCAATTGGGGTTAAGTGACTTGCCCACAGTCACACAGCTAGTAAGTGTCAAGTGTTTGGTCTGAGACCAGATTTGAACTCAGGTCCTCCTGACTTCAGGGCTGGTACTCTATCCACTGTGAAACCTAGCTGCCCCTACCTCGTTCTTAAATTTTTAAATCAGTTTCCTGTTTTCCTTTCTAACTTTAATTGCATTTTTTTGTGTATGTACAAAAACTTTTCAGGGCATCTAGGTGGTGTAGTGGATAGAGTGTTGGGCCAGGAGTCAGAACCACTCATCTTCCTGAGTTCAAATCCAGCCTCAAATACTTAATTAGCTGTGTGGCTCTGGGCAAGTCATTTAATCTTGTTTGCCTCAGTTTCCTCATCTGTAAAATGAGCTGGAGAAGGAAATGGCAAACCACTCAAGTATCTTTGCCAGAAAACCCAAATAGGGTCATGAAGAGTCAGAAACAACTGAACAACAATAAACACTTTTAAAATCTGATATGATAAAAATTGTCCATTTTATCTTCTTTGATTATCTCTATCCCTTATTTGGTCAAGAAGTCTTCCCCTGTAGTTAATTATGAAAAATATCCCCTTCCCTAGCAGCTAGCACATTGCCTGGCACATAGCAGATGATCAATAAATGCTTGAATTTAATTGAAATCTAATTGAATACAAACTGTATGTCTTTACTTGCCTCTTCTTTCCTAATCTTCTCCATCTCCAAACAAAGGCAGTTTCTACATTCCCTAGCCAAAGTAGCTCCTCTTTCTACTTCTTCTCACTGCTTACCTTCTTAGCAGAAACAACTTATAGCTTTAAAATGGTAAAATTAGAAGGCAACAGGACCAAATACAGTGGCAGCACATACTGCATTCATCACATTGTCAATATTTCCCATATATCTCCTGTAGTTCCTTCTGTGGAACCGGAGGCAGCTAGGTAGCACAATGGATAGAGGATTGGGCCTGGAGTAAAAAAGAACTGAGTTCAAATCCAGAGTCAAATACTAGCTGTGTGATCTCAGGCAAGTCATTTAACCTGTCTGTCTCAATTTCCTCTACTGTAAAATGGAAATAAAAATAGCACCTTCTTCATAGAGTTGTTGTGAGGATAAAATGAGATAATATTGGTGAAGTGCTTAGCAGAGTAGGCAGCACATTGTAGGTGTTTAAATACTGTTCTTTTTCCCTTTCCCCACTGGGGTGATCATTATGTGTCTTCTCTCTATACTGATGCTAATTAATTGAGAATACAGTCATATTAATATGTGTTTTAGGATCACCTTCTACAGTGTTTATTTCAATCTGTGCAATGTTCTAATGAGTGCTGTCAGGAAAGAGTCCTTCGAAAAGATTTGAAAGACCATTTGGGCTTACATTGTCAGTTTCGAGAGGAAACATGCCCATATTGCAAAAAGGATATAGTGGTAATCAGTTTACAGGTAAGTCTGAATAATTTGAATGACTGTAATAGAACAGTTACTGTACAAAGAACACGTTATTAAGCCCCAAACTTCTAACTTGAAAAATCTACTGCTCTTTGGGTTATACAGCTGATTTGCAGAATCAAAAGATTTCAAATATAATCTAATATAAACTCCTCAGTTTGTTCCTGCTACCAAAAGAATATTCCTTCTTTGGATAAATGTATTTCAGCTCTAATTCACTTAAGAAGTCGAGGCATGTGTCTGTACTTATGGACAATGTGACATAAATAGCAACGGGCTGTTAAAATTTTTGAACACTCTATGTAGGGTTTCAGCTAACAAATAACCAGAAAAGTGGGTCTTTTTTCAGATTAGCTCTCAAAAACATCATCATTGATGTGTTCCTCTGTGTCACTACGTCAACCACTAATGTGTTTGTGAACTATATCACCTCCCAAAATGGGAACCCTGACTTAACCATCTCCTAAGTCAGATACCCCTTGTGGTCTTAATTCAAATTTTAAAATGATAAAATATTTGGAAGTGTTCCTGTTCCTGTCTCATCAGATTGTTTTGGATCAATGTTGGTTTAAGATTTAGCAAAAGTATAAAATATTATATTGGCTATTAATTTTTATTTAAGACCTTCACTGTTCAGAAGAGACCACAGCATATACTCTCTGGTTTTCAAGAGTTTCCACTATTAAAAAAAAATAGATATTTATAAACACACACAATGAGACCTCCCTTCCTAACCCCTGCTGAAAAGAAAAGACAGCCCTTATGTATTTTGTTTTCTTTTCATCATCTATTCTGTTTTTCAGAATCACAAGGAAAAATTTTGCCCTGACTACCCTGTATCTTGTCCCAATAACTGTTTACAAATTATTCCAAGAACTAAGGTACTGTAAATGAGCAGTTTGAGTAGAGTTACTAAACACTTTTAGTAGTTTTCAGTACTGTAGAATTGATAATACTAGAGATCTAAGGTTATTGCTAGGACCTGTCTGCCTGCTTCTCTGTGATTTTCCTCCCTGCTGTAGTCCCAAATGTTCTTTTTTTTTTTGTCATCATAGCCTTACCCTTGCAAACCTAAGCATGTTTTTTCCTCCTCTCATCCAAACATCTGTCTCTTCTTTTTCCCCCTACCCAACCCAATCTTTGTCTCTCTAACCTTTATATTATAGGGTACCTACTTCCTTATTTTTATGAATGTGTGATCTCATCAATGTGATGAGTACTTCCTCCATTGATGTAACCCATTTATACCATTTTGTCTATGTACTCCCATAAAAATTCCATGGTATTAAACTCATTGTGCAAGAGCCTTCTTCGGTACCTCTTGACATTGTGTGGAAGAACCTGTCAGGCACACAGGCTGTCTGTTGGTTATCCCTTGCTATCACTACATAACAGGCTCACCTGCTTATCCTGCCATACACCTGTCTGATGACATCTTTTATATTTATTGTCCAGCAGAATTAGTTCTTCATATGTTGCAGCCTTTTCGCCCCGTCATGCATTTCTCCATTGCTCTTTGGGTGACTGGCATCCTTGGTTCTGCTGACACTGTGGTATGCCATGATTCATGGCCATAAAACATTGCTAGAAGAATTCTTATATTAAAAAGATGGGTATCAGAATCCTTGTGCTTCAACTAAATGTATCTTGCAACTGTGTCTATTCCCTTAATTCCTTGAATTTTCTCACTTCTGGACATTTGTTCATGACATTTCCCTTGCCTGGAATGATTTCACTACCCAGCAGAGGGCATGGCACTTAATGCATAACTGATTGATTGACTGGTGCCTTTATCTCCATCACCATACTGCATCCTCCTTCTCCCATCAATAACCAAAATTCAACCCTTCGTTCAGGACCTAATTCAAATTTTATGTATGCCATTAAACTCTCCCTCATCACAGAGTGATTGGGATTCCTATAATACTTAGTATCTGTGCCACCCAAAGGGCACTTAACATATACTATATTTTGTTATAGATATGGCCACTCTCTAAAGCCCTACTCAAAATGGCATTGAGAAGACCTTGAATTCTCAAAGGCTGTGTCATTAGCTCATGTAGTTTCTACTACATAGTACAGACCGGGTGACAATTAGATACCACCCTAGTTGTTAGTAGTTTAGGCTCCCTTGATTCAATTTATATTTACCTATCTGTGTTTATGTTCTGTCTTTCTTTCTGTTTGTTGAATAGAAATAATTAACCATGAATTGTGCTACTATATATATTTTATTTTCATCTTGTCTTCTTTATTAGAATGAAAGCTTCTTGAGAGCAAGGACTGGTTTTGCTTTTCTTTGTATTTCTAGCATGGAGCACAGAGCTTGACACATAGTAACTTAATAAATGCTTGTTGATTGACTGATTATAGTTGAATCAGTAATGTTGAATCTGCTTGGGACTGTTCATATTCACAGGTTGATGAGCATATTACTGTGTGTCCTGAGGTGGAACAAGAATGCCCCTATAAGCATTATGGTTGTCCTGTAAAGGTATGGAAATTAATGTTTCTTAATTTGGCCCTCCCTGCCCCCCTCCACTACTATGCAATTTATTTCACAGTCCTTGATGGTATTTTTGCATGCAGCCTAAAAACTGAGGTTTACATTTAAGGTCCAGAATAATCTCTTAAAGTTCTAGGAATATAGCAGTGATAGTCATTCACGGTTTTGACTCCAATTCTTCCAGTGTTTCTGGAATTTCTTGAGTTTCTTACAATGAATTGATTCCCATGTGTATAATATAAATTTTCCTGAGATAATTTCTATTACAATATTAAATAAACAATAATAAGATGTCAAATAATCCCCCAAAGGGCTATAAATCTGTGCATACCCTTTGATCCAGCAATGCCGCTGCTGGGTCTGTATCCCAAAGAGATCATAAAAAAGGGAAAAGGATTCTCATGTACAAAAATATTTGTAGCAGCTTTTTTTGTGGTGGCAAAGAATTGGAAATTGAGGAGATGCCCATCAATTGGGGAATAGCTGAACAAGTTGTGGTATATGATTGTGATGGAGTACTGTTTTTCTATAAGAAATGATGAGCAGCCAGATTTCAGAAAAACCCGGAGAGACTTACATGAACTGATTCTGAGTGAAGTGAGCAGAACCAGGAGAACATTATACACAGTAACAGCAACATTGTGTGATTATCAATTATGGTAGACTTAGCCCAGTAGTACAATGATCCAAGATAATTTCAAAAGCTTTATGATGGAAAATGCCATCCAGAGAAGGAGCTGTGGAGTCTGAATGCAGATGGAAGCATATTATTTTCACTTTGTTATTGTTTTTTGTGGTTTTCCCCTTTTGTTCTGATTCTTCTTTTACAACATGACTAATGTAGAAATATGTTTAACATGATTGTATATGTGTAACCTATATCAGATTGCTTGCTGTCTTGGGGAGGGAGGGAGGAACATTTGGAACTCAAAATCTTACAAAAATGAATGTTTGAAAACTATCTTTACATGTTATTGGAAAAAAATAAAATACTATTAAGTGCAAATAAAAAAAGAAGTCAAATTATCCAAAAGGTAAAGAACCATTGAAATGTGGTAAGTGGAAGCCTTAGCTATCAGTGCCTAGCTTTAGAAAATTGTCCCTGGATACAACCCTAAATATCTGGTTGTGATGAAATGTTAGGTTTGGGTCAGGTACAGAAAACAATTTCAGAGATCCCTTTTTGATAGAGCCTACTGTTCAAAATGTCAGCTCTGAAAGAGAATGGCTGATTTATTTGAAGTTTGAGTACAAATATTATGTTTGTTTTATTATGTATTCTAATTAGAAGCAGTAATCACACAGAGAAACTACAAATCATTCCCTTTGGATTGGAAATATATTGTGTTGTTTTGTGTCCAGTTAACTTGGGCTGTAAATTAAATTAAGGTGTACTCTTTGTGCACACATTAGCTAGCTAATGAAAGAAGATTGTCCAGGTACTACAAATTTGATGGATCCAATCACCACGTAGATAAGAAATTTTTGGAGATAATGGAGAATTGAGTGCATCTATGTGTTGTACAAAAGGCATGTGACCTCAAGGAAAAGGAAGAATCCTTAGTTAGACATGCCATTTAATGATCAGATATTTTCATCTTCCCCTTTGGAGAACCTACTTTCGTCTTTTGAGTCTTTTGAGACTGTCACATATTATGGTAAATTCACAGAATTTCAAAGTTATAAAAAACTCTAATTTAGTCCAATTTATAAACTAAAAAGAGTCGTTACTACACAGCATGTCTGACAAGTGGTCACCTGGCATTGGCGTGAAGACTTCCAATGAGGCAGCCAACCTTTGGATAGCTTAAAATAGTAGGAAGTTTTTCCTTACATGCCTAAATTTGTTTCTTTACAGCTTCCTCCCATTGCTCCTGTTTTGGTCTTTTGCAGTCAAAAAGAACAAACTTATTCCCCCCTCTACCTGATGGCTTTCATCTTGTTGATGAGAATCAGAGATAGAATGGCATTCCCCCTTGTTAATTCCTTTACCTTTTAAAGGATAAAATCAGCATTAAGACGAGTCGAGAAGCTATTGGCTACTGTGTTTGGGACAGAGAGAAGTGACAATCTTTAACAGATACCTGGATAATTGAGGGAGCTAGGTGATTCAGGGGATAGAGCACTGGCCCTGGAGTCAGGAAAACCTGAGTTCAAATTTGTCCTCAAATACTCACCAGGTGTGTGACCCTGGCCAAGTCATTTAACTTCTGTTTGCCTTAACCCAGTAGAGAAGGAAACCGCAAACTACTCTAGTTATCTTTGCCAAGAAAACCCCATAAGGAGTCATGAAGAGTTGGACATGACTGAACTAATGAACAACAATCATTACTATTGCTTGTCTCTGTGCCAGGCTTGTGATCTGTTTGCTAAACTTACCTATTTCCTCTTTCTGCCCATGTGGTTTATAATATACTCAAGCTAACAAAACTGCTTCTATATATGTCTCCAGTGAACTTCACCCAAATGATCTCCACCATGTTTTGCTTCTCTGACTCTTGGATCTCTTTACAAGTTACCTCCTTAGTAAACAATGCTTCCTATATCACCTAGTAACTATCTTTTTTTTCTTTTGAATATGCTGTATCCATTCATATCTACATTACAATAATGTTTCTCATCTTACAAAATCTTACTGATACCAGTAAGAGATCAAATATGCTTCTTTACATTGGGACCCATAGTTCATCTTGCTTGTTGCCTACACTGCATGCATCTATATGTGGATATTTGAAGCCATTCATTTTACCCCAACTCCTTTTCTATTTTTTGTTTTCTATGAACATCTGGGTATTTCAATAGCTATTTGTCCTCCTACATTATAGCATCTGTCTATTGTGTCTATATTTTCAGCCATGATCCAGAAATGTAAATCACATTTTCAGACACCAATTTCTTAACCAGCTGTTTATGTCCCATTGCTTCTCTTTTGTCCCCTGCCTTCAATGAGCAGCAGTGACTAAAAATACCACTAATGTTGCTGTTGTATTTAACAAGAGTTTATAATCTTTGGCAATACTTTTTAGGTTCTATCTACACTTGTAGTCATGTAAACTATCAGAAGTAACAGTCATCTTTTTTAACCAGTCCTGGGATGATCTCTGTTGTTACAACACCCACAGATGGATGGTCCAGTTTCCCACAGCAGGAAGTCATGAAACCACCAGGACTCTTCTCTTTTTCCTGCGATCCTATTTGGACGATATTCCATTTGACAATACTTGTGAATCCACCTTATCATTCATTGGAGGACTAGCAGCTGCGTCCTCCTTAAAGTACCAAAGAGTACTCCCCATTCTTCAGAAAGTTTCGAATTTGTTTTTTAGATTATCATGTAATTCTGGAACTGGAAGGGAACCCTGCATTTAAAGCAAGTGAACATACAAATTCTTGAAAAGTGTGCAAAGATAGCCTTAATGAAAAATGTCCCTATTTTCCCATTTCTGAGGCATGCTTTTTGACTGCTTGTCTTTTTCTTTATTTTTGCTACTAAGGATAAAAGGGTAAATCTTAAGGAACATGAGAATTCTGCTTTGAGAGAACACATGCTCCTGGTTTTAGAAAAGAACTCCAGATTAGAAGAACAGGTAAACTCTGAAGTATAATTTTTAAAAACTAAATAGAATTTACCTTCCTTTTTAAAATCCCTAAATATTTGTATTTTACTGTACATCAATATTAGCTAACTGGAAGCAGATGTTTTTCTATGAAGTAATTGTTCATACTTTAAAAAGACAAATGCTTTTATGTCATGTCATCCTTACATATTATGAAGCAGCACAGATAGCAAGGGAGCCCAATGAGTAAGAGCACTGGAGGAGTCAAGGAGACCTCATTTCAAATCCGGACTCAGACAGCTGTATAACCTTGGGCAAATCACTTTCCCTCTCTCAGCTTCAGTTTCCCCATCTGTAAAACTGAAATAAAAACAGAACTTATCTGATAGTCATGTTCTAAGGATCAAATAAGAAACTACATACAGTGCTTTGCAAACCTTAAGGCACTATATAAATGCTAGCCAGTACTAACACTGCCAGCAAGGACATCTAAGGAACTATGAAACAGGTTTTTTGTTAGGTTTTAGTTTCTTCCTTTGAAAAGTCTACAGGATGCATACATGACATGATTAGCCAGGTTTAGTTCTGTTTCAGGTCCATGGGGCTTCATCTTCCAAAAACACCCTTCTCTATTGGTAGGAACAGAGCCCTTGTATAAGCTTGTCTGATACGGCCTCAAACTAGCCATGTAAATCTCCACAAAATTAAATGTGGCCTAAATGATCAGGCTACGAGCAACTGATTAAAAACAAATTGCTGATAATATGGTATAAGATGTAACTGTTTTCTGATTGCTTTGTGTACTTTGTGGGATAAAAACCACTGAACTTCGAATTAAAAATCTGGTTTCAAGACCCAGCTTCATCCCCAACTACCTGTATACATTTGGACAAATAATTTAATAATTTAAGCCTCAGTTTTTCTATCACTAAAATAGAGGTAACAAATAATATTGTGCCTACTTCACAAGGTTGGGAAGATCAAATGAAATTTATTTGAATGTGCTTGTAAAATATGCTATACACATATAAGGATTATTATTATTGCATGCCTATCTAGATTATAAACATTCTTGAGAACTAGGGCTATGTCTTGTGCTTTTGTATGCCATGTAGCACCTCATGTAGCAGTTTTAGATGGTGGTCATTCCTTAAACATATATAGAATGAATAAATAAACTTGGTACCAGTCTTACAATTCTTTAGGTTAATGGTCATTGCTATGAGAGGTGCTATATTACCATATCATTGGTTAAATTAAAAAAAAAAGCTGATACAATTTTTTGAGATCTTATAGAATTTTAAAGAACTTTATAAAACTGCCTTTTTCCTCTAATGCTATACACTATTTCTTTTAACTTAATTATGTATTTTTAAATAACTTCCTTTTTTTCTCCATTCTAATTTCTTTTATTAGATTTCTGACTTGCACAAGAACTTAGAATTAAAAGAAAGTAAAATTCAGCAATTAAGTGAAACTGTGAAGAAATTTGAAAAGGAGTTTAGGCAGTTTGTACAGCTGTTTGGCAAAAATGTTAACTTGCTGGCAAGTACCCAGGTGAGATACTAACCATCCAAGATCAGTTTTTTCCTTTCATTTGCCTATAAAGTTTGGTAATAACTATTATGATCTATTGGACCACTAATATTCTCTTGATCTCAGAGTCACTGCAAGGATATGTAGTTTATGTTGTGTAGTCAATAAAGTAAATTCCTTTGGAAAGAAAATGCTACAGTCTTTCCAAAATCCCTAAAGTTAAAATGACATTGAAATTTACAAATGTCAATAAATTATTAATGAACTTCCAATGTATAGTGAATTTATCATGATTAGACATATGATATATGAAAACATTCCAGAAGTTGGTTTATGGATAAGTCTAAAAGTAGTCCATTCGCTAGGCAGAAGCCATCTACTCAGTGGTGTTTGGCAATGCCTCTCCCCCCACCCCAGCTCAGGCTAAGATACCTGCCTATTTCTTAAAGATTTCAGCAAAAGGGTCTGAGGTTTCTAAGTTTCATCATTCTGCTTAATATTTCAAATTTATTATTGAACATTATTAAATCATTTCTCTTAGCTGCCCTTTCTCCTCCCCAGCCCTAGATCTGAGAGCCATTGATACTGCGGGGCCTACTTCCATGGGGTATAGATGATGATAGTATGCCTGACTAGGCAGGAAAGGGCACACTTAGGTTTTAGTTTCTTCATCTATAAAATAAGAAATTTGGACTATATGATCTCAGAGAAGAGATATTGTGAGGCTTAAATGAGATGTGAATAGAGGGGAAGCACTTTGTAAACCTTAAAGTATAATATAAGTACAAGTTATTATTATTAGTTAATGAGTCCTCAAGCCCCAGTCTGGTGATGACTTCATTCCCTGAGTCTTCGACTGCACTCCTGCTGAACTCAAGTTTATAGAGAGATACAGAGGTGTACTAATAAATGTTTAACAACAGGGCTTTATAGAAAATATTTAAAAAGTATTCACGTGCACTTTAAGTTTAATCAGCATTAAGACTTTCTTAAATCTAGAAAATCAGCAAGACAAAAGTCATGATTTGTAGAGCTGAAAGATACCTTGGAGACAGAGGTATGCTACAGCCAGCTCACCCCTGTCTCCAAAGTATCTTTTAGCTCTAAATACTGTAATCCATTTGTCTTAGTTTCTGTCTATTCTTAGCACTGTTATGGGTAGAATGGAAGTATGGAGTGGGGATGGGAGAGAAGAAAGGGTGAAGGGTTACTTTGGAAATCATGAGTATTAATGAATTATGAATGTTTCGTTTATTATCATGATAAGACATTGAGTATTTTTGAAGATTAAACAAAATGGTTTACCTATAAAACTAAATTTAGCTGATCTACTAGACAAAAGGTGCATGGTATAGTGAAAACAGTGTTATGTTTGAACTAGCCTTTGTCCCATGGGAAAGCAATTTGACCTTTGCTTCTGAAATTCCTCTTCTACAAATTATCTATTATCTCCCTCACCCTCAGAACTGATATAAAGAACAAACTATATTACATGTATAAAATGCTATGTATGGGAGCTATTTCGTAAAAAAGGGTACTTTTGTGGGATATAGATGATGGCAGTAAAACCTATTCAAGGAAATGGAATATACCTGGAATATTGGCTGAAATTCTTTTTTCTCTCTCTTTCAAATTTTATGAACGTTATTACACTTGAAGGTTCTTGCCAGTCACATTGATAAATCTGCTTGGTTGGAAACACAAGTCAGGGAGTTACTAGAGGTGGCTAACCAGCAGCAAAACAAATTTGATCTAAGACCTTTGATGAATACAATTGATACTATAAAGCAGAAGATCACTTTGCTGGAAACCTATGACCAGAGATTGGGTATGTTGATATTTTATTGATTGCTTTTGGTTGTTTTGGAAATTAGGGCCAAATTACTGTAGATTTATGAAACAGAGGCAATTAGGTGGCAGAATAGATAAGAGTGCCAAATGTGAAATTGGTAAGATGCACATTTGAATCCTGCCTCAGACTAGTTATATAACCTTGGGCTTATCTTCTCTCAATTTCCTTAACTGTAAAATGGGGATGATGATAGCACCTGCCTCCTAGGGTAACTGTGAGGATCAAATGAGATAATAATGTATGTAAAGCACATTACAAGCCTTAAAACACTATATAAATGGTGGTTATTATTAGAAACAATTAAAAATAAGAACCCAGACAAGACAAATTGAAAACTACTGTCCCCACCTTTGATTAGAAGCAAAACATATAAGATGTATTGCATCTGATGTTCTGAGCAGTATTCTAAAAAATAAAGATCTCTATAGTTGGCCTCCACAGGTCTATAAAAGGCCAATGGATGAAGAAATGGGAGCCAGAAATGAGGAGATAAAGTGGATGATGGGTGGCAGATGCCCATATGAAAGATAGGAAAAAATGGTTGCTTTGGGTTCTTTATACAAAACTTTGGGCAATCACCTTACACAGGCTGTGCTGATTGAGTCTTGAGCACAGTCCTCTCAATACCCAACTTTCTATAGCACAGTGAATAAGCAGAAATTTTTTGTTTTGTTTTTAATTTTTTTTATAACAATTTTGGCAAGGGAGTCATTGAAAACTAACTGAACTTAAATTATCCATTTGTGGTCTTTGTATACATAGAGCTCATGTTGATTGTGTTAGATTTCAGGATCAGATAACAATATTTTGGATGAATTCTAATGGCAGCTTTGTCTAAAGGGACATTTGGCACTCTTTTCTCTTTGTAGTCACATTGGAAGGCCAAACTAACAGACATGATGCCCACATTAATGTCCACAAAGCCCAGCTGAATAAAAATGAAGAGCGATTTAAAATGTTAGAAGGCACTTGTTATAATGGCAAATTGATATGGAAGGTGACAGACTACAAGATGAAAAAAAGAGAAGCAACAGAAGGGCGCACAGTGTCCATATTCAGCCAACCTTTCTACACCAGCCGCTGTGGCTACCGACTCTGTGCAAGAGCTTACTTGAATGGGGATGGGTCAGGGAAAGGGACACATTTATCACTGTATTTTGTGGTGATGAAAGGTGAATTCGACTCATTGTTGCAATGGCCTTTCAAACAGAGAGTTACCATGATGCTTTTGGATCAGAGTGGAAAAAAAAACCACATTACAGAGATCTTCAAGGCTGACCCCAATAGCAGTAGCTTTAAAAGGCCTGATGGAGAGATGAACATTGCATCTGGTTGTCCTCGCTTTGTGGCACATTCCACTCTGGAGAACACCAAGAACACCTACATCAAAGAAGATACCCTATTTATGAAAGTGGTTGTAGATTTATCTGATCTTGAGGACCTGTAAAAAGTACCCAGATTCATTGTTGTTATGATGAAAGAAGCTCTTGGGTTGACAGTAGTGAAGGTCAGACTTAATTGCCATAGTGAACTGTATTTCAACCCATTACTAAGATGTGTTTAGGTTTAATATTTTAAAGCTATATAAAAATGCCAAAATTCTAGCTTGTCTTTTCTTATCAGTAGGCTGAATGTATGCCCTATTTTGATTGTTAGAATACTTGCCCTGTTCTCTTTCATATTGTTGTATATCTTTTGATGTATATACCTTTCTATACAATTAGATTGTGGGTTCCTTGAGGGCAGGAACTTTTGTATCTTTGTGTTTGTTGATGGTGTTACTAATGATGATGATAAGATAAAAATATGTCTCTAGACCTGACTTTGCAAATGAAGAAATGCGTTTCATAGCACGTGATTTTACTACAGGTCTAAGATTTCTAACTAGGACCAGACCATTTTGAACAATGTGCTAAACCTATGATTACTTGAGCTCTATTAAAATTTTTGTGAAGCTCTTCAGTAATCTATAAGCATAGTAGTATAAACCTACTGGAAGAAAGGTAAATAGATTGAACATTTGCCCTTCTTTCCCAGGGTGGAGCAAAGAGATGCTGAAAAGCACAAAAATAGGGTGATACAGAAGTGTGTCCAGCTAATATTTAGCCTCTATAAAAGAAAAAGGACTTTATTATTACCTTCAGTAAGAGAGTAAGAATCTACAGGCTAGTAGGATAAGAAACACTTTGGAACTCCCAACTGAATTACTTGGGAGACTGGGAAAATTTTGTATGGTGAAGAAAAGAGTGAGGATAATGATGGTCTGGTTAAATGACAAAAGCCAGGGATAATCAATGGGCAGTCCATGTGTTCCACTGGCATTCTCACAGTGTCAAGAGAAAGCCAGGGAGATTCCCAGCATATTGAGTGGAATTCTTTGTGGAGTACTTATGGGTGGACATGGACAGTAGTATCATAGGATGGTAAGGCATAGATGGATTGTATGCCTCATTAGATGAGATCATAGATCCATTTGAGTATTATTGAAGAAAACTGAATAAGGAGATTCCAAAAGGGCTTGAAAATGAAAGATCAGTTACATTTGGCCATTGAAATTGTTTTAAAGATAGTATACCTATCAAATACTAGTTTCAAAAAGTGATACATTTTTTGAGAGGACTGTGGAATTCAAAGTGTGGTATAATGGCTATTGTATTGGACTTGGAGTCAGGAAAATCTAAGTTCAAATACCAACTCTAACACTTATCAGCTATGCAACTATGGGCAAATCATTTAATTTTTATGAGCTTCAGTTTCCTCATCTGCAAAATGGGGGTGATACCTGTAGTACCTACCTCATAGGCTTGTTAGGAGGTGGAAATGATATATATCAAGTGTTTGACACACTTTGAAATGTTACATAGATGTAGGAATGAATAAAACTTATTTGCATCATCCTTAATTATTTCAGACATATTACTGACAGGAACTTTGTGTAGAATGGAAAGAATAAAGTTCCCATGCACATGTGTAGTTCTAAGAGTATGGATACAAATCTGGATATAGTGGAAAGAGTATTTATTCCTTCTGCCAAAGAATGACACTTTGGTAGACTGCAATATTCGCTATAACCTTGTTGTCATATGCAATATTTTCTTATGTTATTTAAAAATCTGTTTGTTTTTACAAGTGCATGCAAAGGACAATATTGCATGCAAAAGATAGTTTATTAATATTAGAAGGTAAATATCTTAGTGGTATAAAGGTAATAATGGCCTACTAAATAATAACTGCAATATCAACTTTAAAGAATATCAACTGTGCAAATATCTTCTGAGACTGATGGAAAACATTGTCACTTCCTGTAAAACATTAAGATGTTGAGATGAGTTATAAAGCAGTTTTCAGAAGGGGTCAAACTATTTATAAAGACATATGGAAACAACAGCCTTTCACTGAAGAATCCCTCTGTAACTTCTGGTGAATTTTGTTGTGTTTGTGGATTTATAATGTGAACAGATGCTCTCAGACAGACTTTGAAAGCATTTTGCTATTTTTCATTCGTATTAAGCCCAGGTGGCTACAATTATTTATGATGATTTTCAGTGTTTTTTTTTTTTATCACTTTTTTAGGCCACAGTTGTCTGTTCTGAAGGATCACAAAAACATGTTTATAACGGGTTTAGTGGAAAGTAAAAAACTTTAGTGTTGACAAAAAGCTCTTATTTTCATCAAACTATGTTTAAAAGGTCTGATTTTGAACTGATTTGTTTATTGGTTCAAACTGCCATTAATCAATGATTAAAATATAAAAAGAATTGTAGAAAACATTTTTGTTGACAAAATAAAAGTGACCTGTGTTTTTAAAAAGATGAATCCATTGAGGTGTTTTATTTTATCCATCCACCCAAGTTATGAACAGTTAAGTTACTTTTAAACTTTTACAGTTACTTTTAATTTTTTAAAGTAAATTTTTAAAATGTATTTGGCTTCATTAAAGTTCATAGAAATCAAAGATAAAGGGTTGAAAGGAACCTCAGAGATCTAGTCCAATAGCTTCATTTTACAGATAAGGAAACTTGTACAGGAAACCTTCCCCAACCCCTCTTAATTCCAGTGCTTTCCCTCTGTTAGTTATTTCCTATGGATAAAGAGGATAATAATAATACATAAAGGATAATGTATGTAGCTTGCTTTGTATATATGTGTTTGCATGTTGTTTTGCCCATTAGATTATAAACTCCTTGAGGGCAGGGACTTTTACCTCTTTTTGTATTGCCAGTGCTTAGCATAGTGCCTGGCACATAGTAGGCACTTAAAAAATGTTTACTGAATTAAATTGAATTGAGAGCTGACCTATATACAAATAAAAATAGTACCAAATAAATACAAGTATTTGAGAAAGATATGAAGTTTTATGAAAGGAAGGTGATTACTGACTAATGAGTTCAGATTCCCAAAAGAGGTGGGCTGCACTGAGCTTTAAAGAATGGATAGAAATCCAAAGGGAGCAGGTGGTATTACAGGCATAAGATAGGAATGAACAAAGGAACAGAGGTAGAAAAGCTCAGGACATGTAACCACAAGCCTGTCCATTAGATTGTGAGCTCCATGAAGGCAAATACTGTTTTTGCCTTTCTTTTTATCCCCAGCTCTTGAGCACAGTCCCTGACACATAGTAAGCATTTAATAAATGCTTATTGACACAAGGGCATGTAGTCCTGTGTAGATAAAACACAAGATACATGGAAGAGAGTAGCACCAAAATATTTGTAGTAGTACTTTTTGTGGCAGGAAAAAAAAAGTGAAAATAATGTGGATTCTCATCAGTTAGGGAATAGCTAAAGAAGATGCAGTACATGAATGTAATGAAACATTGCTACATTTGATAAAAAATGGAATATGTGAAGAATGCAGAGAAACACAAGAAACACTTATATGAAGTGAGGTACAGTCAAGTAAGCAGAACTAATAATACACAGAATGGCTACAATAATGTAAACAAAAACAATACTGAAAAGCAGTTGAAATAGAAACATTTAACCCAATGAGACCAAAGAAAGAGGGAAAAGAGTCGTATGTAAGAAACATTCAGAATAGGGCCTTTTTCTTAGAGCAAAAAAAATCTGGAAACAAAGGGGTGCCCATTACTTGGGGAGTAGCTGAACAAATGACTCAAATGGAATATTGTACCCTAAAAAAAGATGAAAGGGATAGATTCAGAGAAACCTGGGAAGATTTGTATGAACTGATACAGCGTGAAGTGTATGGAAATAGAAGAATAATTTATATGACTATGACTTGGAAAGGAAAATGACTTTGAAAGACTGCAAGACAATGCAAGGACTAAATGGGACTACAGAAAAATTAACAAGGAAATGTGCTTCCCACCTCTTGACTGAGAGGTGATGGACTAGAAGTACAAAATGAAATATACTTTCAAAGATACGGTCAACCTGTGAATTTTTTTTGTTTGGTCATTTTATTTACTTTGTTACAAGCAAGGGGGTTTATGACGAGAGAGTTAGGGGATGGGAATGGGGGGTTAATGATAATTCCATTAAAAAAAGGAAAAAAGAATATTAATGAAATTTAAGAAGACAGCAGAAGTTCAAAGTGGGAGAAGATAGGCATGGCACTTCTGGTACCATTATGTTAAGTTTAATAAATACTTTTTAAAACCAATGCTCTTCATAAGAGATTCACAGTTTCATGTGCAATCCTCTTTTCTTACTGGTATATATTAAGGTTTGTTAAGTTCATAATAAATATACAAACTAAAAGAATCTACTATGTGCCCAGTCCTGTGCCAGATACTGAGGATACAAAGTCACAAGGGATACGGTCCTTGTTCTCAAGAAGCCTACATTCTATTGGGATACAACATAAACATAAAGAATATTGAAAATAATGCATATTCATTTCAAGAGAGAGAACCCTAACAGCTGGAGAAATTAAGAAAGATCTTCTGTAGAAAGAGCTAGGTATTCTGTAAGGTACAGGTGAGGAAGAACACATTACAGACAGTGGGGACCACTTCTTTCTGACTTCATTGTCAGTAATACCAACATTATCCACCCAATATCCCATGTTTGAAACTTTAATTATCTTTGACTTTTCCCTCTATTTCAATTCATATTCAACTAGTTACCAAGTCCTGTCAGTCCTACTACTGCAAGATCCCTTCCATCTATTTTCTCTGTTTCCCACTGCAATCACCCTAACCACAGTCATTCATTACATATGCCTGAATTTTTGCAGTCCTAGCCTAACAGATCCCATTTGGTCCTTCATACCATTACCAAACTAATCTTCCTTATGCAAAGATTTAGTCATGTCACTACATAAAAATTTTCAGTGATTCCCAACTGCACTCTGAATAAAGTTCAATATCCTTTGCCTGATATTCAACACCCCCTACAACTTGGTATCATCCTAGTTTCCCAGCTTCATTTCATACTACCCTATCACATATTTCTCTATTAGTCAAACTGAGAACTACTCTGACCACCAATATATCTTGTACTTTCAGAATTACTTTAGTAATTGCTTTCCTCCTTCTTGCTTGTTGAGTTACTCCCATACCATAAAGTTTAACTTAGACGACACCTTCTCCATGAAGCTGCCCTGGGCTAAGCAACCTACATGCCGTGGCAGTGCCATCAGATCTCCTGTCTTTGTGTTCTCTAACTTTGACATCTTCCACTGAGCTTAGTACAGAACTCTACACCGGAGGGGCTTAATTAAGGTTTGTTTTAATTACACTGCAGAAGGTGCAGTCATGCTGGGCAGGATCCCACGAGGTGGAGAAGCTCCCTCTCCCACAAGGCACATTGTAGTGGAGGAACCAAGGTGATGAGGGTGACTTTCCATGTCTTCAGCCTGGCAGGGTCTAGAGGCCCAATCCTTTACATCAGCCACCCACTCTTGCCACTGCGTGGGTAGCACCCTCTTAATTCAGCTTCCATGCTGGGATGAAATTTATTGAGCCACTGAAGTGATTTGTCTAAAACCAGGTCTGGTCATATTACCCTCCCACTCAACGAACTCCAGTGACTCCCATATTGTCTCCGGAGCAAATACGGAATGTTCTGTATGGTATTCAAAGCCCTTCATCACCTTGCCCCTCCTCCCTTTTCGGTAATCTTACACCGCACTCACCAAAACACTCCTCAGTCCTGTGACACTGGCCTCCTGGCTGGTCCATGGACAAAACGCGCCATCTCCCAGCGCAGGGCATTTTCCCTGGCTGTTCCCTATACCTGGAATGCCATCCCTCTCCCCTCCAACTGCTGACCCCTCCCTGGCTTCCCTCAAATCCTGACGAAAATCCCACCCTCTACAGAAAGCCTTCCCCTACCCCTTTTAATTAGTGCTTTCCCTCTGTCAATTATTTCCTATTTATCCTCTATGGAGCAACTGGCACGGTGCCTGGCACATAGTAGGCACTTAAATGTTGACTGAAGTGAAATGAAACGAGGCGTTCGAAATGAGATAGATGAGTAAGAGTCTCTCGCACCCGAAAGGTGAAAGCGCTTTGCAAAGTGTAAAGCGCCTCTTGGGTGTAACCGTCTCCCTCTGAGTAACGGTCTTTCAGGCCCCTGACCAGCGGACGCGCGCCGGCGCAGGAGCAGCAGCAGCAAGAACTGCGCAAAGGGGGGCGGTGGGCGGTGGCTGCAGCTGCAGCGTACGCGACTGCCATTCCCACGCCACCCCCGCTTCGGAGCATGCGCAGAAGGCGCCCAACAGCCGTGACGCCTCTCTTCCCTCCTACTCGCACCCCCCCCCGGGAGGGGGCGGAAAGAGATCGGAAAACAGTCTGTCGACTTCCGTTTCCGCTTCTACTACGGTTTCACTCCCCTCTCCCAGCTCTCACTAGGTGGTAAACGGGGGTGGGGTGAGGATATGGCGCGTTCTTCCGGTCAGCCTCGTCTTGAGGAGAGTGGCGCGTGGGAAAGATCCTATACCTCTCTCTTCAAAGCTGCGCTTCTCCTATCTCCGCCCCTTCCCCCCGCCCTCCCAGCTTCCGGCGCGGCTTGTTTTTGTAGCGTCGCGTTCCGGTTCGTCTCACTTCGGTTTAGTTGGGAGAGAGAGAGAGGTGTACCCTGCGGTTCGTGTCGGGGACCGCACCGCGCCTTAAACATTCCAGGCCAACTGGGGTCTCACCCCACCCTTTCCCCGCTAGAGATTCTCCCTCCCTGTCCCCCTCTCCATCCTTTCTGAGTCGCCTTCTTTCAGGAAGCCTCCCCCTCGCCTACCCCGTGGCCTGGAAAGGTGTAGTTGAAGAAGAAATTTGTAAGGAGCTTAGCACAGTGCCTGGCATATAGCAGGCGCTTAATAAATGCTTCTTAACTTTCCTTTATGACATTGTACACGGAGCTCGAATCCCAGCATAGAAATTCGCTGCTGGGTGACAGAACAAGTCATCAATAATCTGGGCCGCAGTTCCTTCATCTGTAGAATGGCGATACTACTCTGGGTTGTCGTGAGGATAAAATCAGATAATATTTGTAAAGTGCTTTGAAAACCTTAGAGCGCTATATAAATGCTAGCTATTGTCTACAAAAGAAACGTGGCTGGTGTGACTTGATTGGGATCTGAGGCCTCAAAGGTCAACTTTCAGCTTTAAAACTATGATTCTATAAAATGAGGGGTAACAAGATTGTTGGGAGGAGTATAGATAAATGCCCCACTGACCTCATTGTCACCCCCAGAATGGGTTCCTGGGGGGGTTTAGAGTTGTTCTCAAAGACCTGAGCTCGAATTCTGCCTCAGACCCTAGCTGTGTGACTGGGCAAGTCACTTAACATTTACCAACTTCGGTTTTGTGGTGTTTAAAATGAGGTTACTGA